AATTGTTTTGTGGAAACTCAAACAACTGTGATGAAACTTTAAATGTAACGAATTATTTAATATGGAGCAGCCAACATTATTAGGTATTTGAATGTATATTTGTTTCAAAACAAATCAACTGGGCCGCATGAAGTGGATTTTGTAATAGTGAATAAGAAGGATTAATTACAAAATCTCATGTCCCCAAACGGGGTGGGTGGGAGGGGGGGTTAATAGAAAGGGGGGGAGCCTTATTACAAAAAAACGACTTCCAAACGGGGGGCTTATTAGAGAGGGGAGGATTAACAGCGAGGTGGGGTTTAATAGAGATTTCACGGTAAAACAACAACCAGATTATAATTTTTTAATGTCAACCTTCGAGCCTATGTAATGCAAGAGCTCTGTACCTGAAACTAGTTGTTTCGTATTCGTTTAGTAGTTTGAGGCGGCAATTTTTACAAAATGGACACCGGCATTTTAGAGAGGGTCTTCGTTTTGTAGTTTGAGGCGGGCAAAACTACAAGACGAAGGCCGCATTGATTTCAATGTTTTAGCGTCAAATAAAACGTTTCAGCGAGGGTCTTCGTTTTGTAGTTTGAGGTGGGTAAAACTACAAAACGAAGACCCCATCGATTTCAATGCTTTAGCGTCAAGTAAAGCGTTTTAGCGGGGATCTTCCTTTTGTAGTTTGAGGTGGGCAAAACTACCAAACAAGGACCCCATCGATTTCAATGTTTTAGCGTCAAATAAAGCGTTTTGGCGAAGGTCTTCGTTTTGAAGTCTGAGGCGGGTAAAACTACAAAACGAAGACCTAATCGATTTCATCGTTGTGGCGTCGAAAAATGTGTTTCAGCACATTTCATTTAATTGATTTCCAAGTCTTCGGTCTTCGGTCTTCGGTCTTCGGTTTGGAGACACCCGAGGGAAATGTCGCTCGAAGTGTGGAATTTATTCGACTCTGGTCCTGTTTATTGTGTCTTAAATGAATTCAAAAGGTCAAAGGGGAAACTGCATTTACAGTCGGCGGTGAGAACTTAATTCCAAGTACAAAGGCTGCTTGACTGCGTTTAAAGCTGACAGGAAAAAGGCTTTATGCAAATGCTGCGATCGAATGATCAACATTTCAAACATGGGAGAGTCTGCGTTGAAATCGCATATGAAAAGTGAAAGGCACAAAAACAACGGTGGAATTGGAGGTAAACAGCTAATGACATTGTCCTCATTCGGTTTTTTAACATGTGGAAATGGAAATTTAGCTGAAGCAGGAAAAACGGGAGCGTCGCAATCACAACAACAAGCTGTGATGACAATCCCTCCGCCGCCTCAAGACGATGCAACTCCAAGATCACAACCATCTTTGGAAGGACATGTGACTAAGGATAACATACTTAAAGCTGAAACACTCTGGACACTGAAACTTATTACAAGTCACTTTTCATGTAACTTGTCCAAGGACAGTTCTTAACTGTTTTCAGCAATGCTCCCTGACAATGAAATTGCTAGGCAAATTGCTTGTGGAGAGCGAAAAGCAGCGTATTGTTGTGTATTTGGTCTGGCTGAAGACATAAAAAAGCTGCCCCAAGATAGTGTCAGTGGACCTTTTGTTGTATTTCTTGGAAAAGGTTGTGGTTATTCATCGTGGTGAATAACCATAAAAGCTAAGTTTTCGTTTGTCTCACGATGTAGTCACATGTGATGTAGACGCGACGTTCTGACTGCATACTGCTAGTCTACTTCAGGCGATTAGGTCGACTGGTCATGCGTGATCTTATAAAGCATGATGCTCTGCTGTGATTAGGTTGTTTTTCAACAGCTCTGATTGGCGCATTTCGATCCTTGCTGTTCACTCAGTTTCGCATTTGTCTTTTGTCACGTGTTGACCTTTGTTTGTTATATCGTGGTATATTATACGTTTGGGCTTCCAGGTTGTGTTCCTTGTAACGAGGATTTCGTTCGTACCATAAACAAAAGAGATCTATACAGTTAGCAGGTATCTTCAAGCTGAAGCCGTTTACAAATGTTTACAATGCCTTAAAATGCGAGAAAAATGAAATATGATTCGTAAGAAGGGCAATATCAATGAAATTTAGAAAGATAAAACCGGACCGCTGACTGATGAACAACCACTGGTAAAAAACGTGAGGGAGCATGAGCCTGAAATATGGAGATTTTCCCTGCAATGGTTAGGGTGACAAATTGAGCTAAAACATTTTTTTACGAGTAATTTGTTTGCTGACATAGAAAGTGTGCACAATGGTAGTCATACTCGTAATAACAAAATCGGACGACTGCGCGGCGGGAGTTCGATTTGTTTATCACGAGTATGATAACAGACCGAATTCAGTTGGACGACACGAAGTCTTATTACCAATTAATCATAAAATTACAATTTCCGGGAAAAGAAGAATAGTCAAGTTATAGAAGAAAGGGAAAATTTTAATTAAAAGGTTGTGATTGACTGATTTAAACTACAACTTCGAATGTGATCGTTTGATTTCAACTACAACTGTGAATGTGATTGACTTATTTTATTGTCCGAGAGCAAACTGTCCGATAACAACCTAGCAAGTCAAATAGTGGAGAGTAGGAGTTTTTTTTAATCAATCACAATCGAGGAAACTGTAATTTTCATGATTAACAATGACATTTTCTCTATATATCTTTTAATCTTGATTGACCTTTCACCTGCAAATAATGCCATTCAGACAAGTTGGACATGGCCGCGTGTCTACAGAAGTTGCGTGCAAATACGGAACTTTCGATAGTACTCTGGTGTTTCGATATTTTCTCAACTTTTTCCTCAGGAGTAAACGTTTGGTATCATAAGCAACATATCCGTGATCTCTGACTCAATATCAAAGACACGTAATAAAAACGAAGAGTGATAGATAAAAATTAAAGTTAAAGGCTTACACAGTTTCATCCTCATGCGCAGTTTTTGCAGTCACCTGATAAATATTGTTAAACTACAAAGGAAAATCACTGAACATTTCACTTATCATTCACTTCCATTTTGAGAAGGAAAGGAAATTCCTATATTTTAAAAGATGGTTTCTCACACAGATGTAGCTGGCGAGAATCCTCCACATTAGCTTCCTGACCTTGGAAACGAGCTTCGTTCGCAAGGAATCTAGTTCTTAATGATTCGATTACAATTAGAATGAAATCAGATTTTCTTAACCCAGACAGAAATGATGAATTTTCAGATGATTTCGAAACTGTACGATCATAGCGTTCTTCACTCGCTAATTCAGTTCACAGCAGGGGCTACCGGCAAACTATTTGTAACTGGCATTGCCATAACGTCAATAGTGCCGATGTTGTTATTTAAGCAGCAAAATAAGTTATTTGGCTTTGGCTCTTTTAAAATTCCAGCGGAACTGAATATTGTTATTCATTATCCAAATTCCTCTTTGTAGAGTACAAATAACGCCCTAATCGAGTACAAATAACGCGCTAATCGAGAACAAATCTTGCGCGATATTTGGACAGTTGGTTACTTTGTACTGTAAAAGAATTATAGTTGTTGATGTGACTTATACTTTGGCCTTAATTTGAAAGATCTAGGGTGGCTTTTAATTTCATCCATCTATTGATCGATAAGATGCAGCGCGCATTGGTACGTTTGATTTCGAAACAGCTGAGCACATTGTGACTTTGTGTTTATTATCATAAAAATATGACTGATTTTGGTTTGCATGTTTTTTCGAGTGATGAGCTTTGGGCCTCGAACTGTGCAGGGAATCGAGATAACAAAGACAACAATCACATCCCATCATCACATCCCGCCAAGAGGTGCGACTTTAAGTAGGTAAGTAACCTTTACTACCACTGGTAATCCTTGCCATCTGACTGGCTCTCGAATCGCACCATTTACTGCTCTAAATCGCATCTTTTCCATGCCAATGAGAAACCTTTCCTATGACACAATAACCAATAAGATTTCTAAGCTTGTTTCAAGAAACCAATATATGTATAGGTAATAACATGATTTGGAGAGCTATTTGGTGTTAATAAGTATGAGTAAATCGACTAAATTTTTCAAGTAAAACAAAGTAGCACGAGCCTTTAGGACAAGTGCAGTTAACCAGTTCTTAGTACACCAAATTGCAAGAGGAATCGTGTTATTACTTGTTAACAAGACGAAATTTTGAAAGCGTGTGCGCTAGTTGTAATTTGCACTCGTGTGCACTTGTGTAACATGAGAATGTGCGTTTTCAGTCAATCAGAAGCCCGTAATTTTTTTTCATGTATATCATTTTAGAGGTAGATGAAACAAAACTTTTGCAACTTTTTACAAACCAGCCCATTACTGTATTAATGAACTGTTTGTAAAAAAAATTCTTGTATTTGAGCGACTGAATTTTGCGATTTCAAAATGGATGTGTTAATATAGATAACAACATGATTTTGGGTGCAATTGTTGTTAATAAGCACGATTCAATTTGTCGAAGACAACAAAAATGCACGAGCGCATAGGGCGAGCAACGTGTAGTTTTTGAACAATTTCCCCGCGCTTATTTACACCAAATTGCACGAGAAATCATGTTGTTTCTTGTTAATAATTTACATGAAAAACGCATCAGTGAAAGTCACGACGGACGAAATTTGGCAGCGCGCGCTTATTGTAATTTGCACTCGTGTTACAACTTTGCATTCGTGTTACGCGTAAAAATATACTCGTTTTTAACCAATCAGGTGCGCCATATTGACGAAATATAAAAATGGTGTCCGTGTTTACATAGCCTAATGTAAACACGCGTGAGGTTGGGAGAACACGAGATAAGCGTAGGAAACCACGACGCGAAGCGGAGTGGTTTCCAGCTTATTGAGTGTTCTCCCAACCTCCCAAGTGTTTACATCAGGCTATTTAAACACGGAAACCATTTTACATTTCTTTTATAAAGTAACTAATGAAAGAGGAACGAAAACCGTGTTTACATACGCTCATGTAAAATGGTTTTATGGCCAATCAGAGCGCACGTACTGTTTGAATTATTTTATAATTATTCATAAATATTATTTAAGTGGTAATTGAACTTCGTGTCGTGCAATTTTGGTCAGAAATCATGTAATCATCCACTGTATCGATCAAACCGATCGGTCGGAATCTGCTAAGGCCTGGGTCTACAACTGATTTGGCGGGAAAGAACCAAGATTTGCAAAATGGCGACCAACTTGTTCGAAGCAAGTGAAGTTGAACCATGGAAGGTAACATTTCAGCTATACGGAAAGATGTTAAAACTTAGAGCCGAAAAAGGAAAGGAGGATAAAGCAAAGAAGCTGTTGGATCTTGACAACTGGTGAGTGCGCAGGAGGTCTTCGTGAAATCATAATTATTGTAGTTGGCGATCCTGGCGAGGAATCGAACATTTTCATGCAGAGGAAGGTACAATTTTAAATGGGATAGGTTGAATGTAGGTTAAGCACGGTTCAAGATCCTCCTTTGCTGTAAACGTGTTTTTATACATTAAATACGTTTTGTGATGGTTAAGCTTACATGTATGTAAAATTCCCTTTAGCTCACTTCCTCTCTGCTTGAATCCCACAATAGTGGGATTATGAACCTGATAATTTAAACATTGTACTGTTTAAGTTTATGGTAAATTTTGGAATATGTTTTTGTTTAGTTCATAACAAGCCACAGTTTTTAATGGCACTTTGAAATGTACACATGCAGGTTTCAAAACCAGTTACCTCAAGAAATAAACAAGAGATCAGAAAAATATATAACACTGGAAGAACTCACAAAGCTTATGGAGTGGAAATTAACAGTAAGCTATTCTTAAAACTGCTATTAAAAAAGGATGGTTCAGTTATGAGAGACGACTTAGTTCTGTCTAGTATTGCTGAAGGGAATCTGAAGTGCGGACATGCTTATCAATTTTGGATCACATTCCAAACCTCCACCCCCAAGTTTTATTTTTTATTGTTGGCTTCCAGTCTACTGCTGTAAACTGTACATTGTCACATTCTCAAGAATCAAAGGACATTTCAAAAAATACAACTATTTCTGAACAGGAAAACCAATTTTATCTCCAGTTGAATTGATTTTCCTACTCTAATGAAAAAAAAAGGAAAAAACAAAAACAGAATAAAGCAAAACAAATAAACAGAACAAAAAAAAAACCAAGATTGTTTCCTCTATGTGAGACGTAGGCAACTGTGTTAGAAACCAGGAGAATCATTTTACATTTGAAAGATTCATGTACATATAGATAATCTGGGAAAGTTGAGAGATGTAGAGATCTTGATATAATTGGGGTGCTTTTGAAATCCTACAGGGTTTAGTGTCTGCCAGCTTATGTGTAAAACCCTTCTTAATATTTTATATGAGATTGTCACTTAGTCAACAATGAATGTACAGATTCATTTTAGTCATATGAAGTCATATTGATCAAAGAATATTAAGTAAGCTATTGTTCTTTTACAGCGTGGGAAGTTCAGGCCCCGCCTGACTCAGCTTGTACAGACAAACACCAGTGAAGCTGTCAAGGAGGTGACATGCAATGCTTTCAAGTGTTTACCTGATGTGAAATTGGCCATCACAGAACTAACAACATTGAAAGCTGTTGGACCAGCAACAGCTTCAGGTCAGTGAAAACAGGGCTTCTTAGGCACCTTAGCAACATGTGTTTATTGATGACAATATGTTGAATATATCGTAAAGTGCCTTTTTGAAGATCAAGAACTATTGAGGTGAAGAAAACATTCATCCAAGCAAGTTTGGTCAATAAATAAATTACATTCTTGAAAAGGAAATTAAAAAAGCTCATCCAGGATGTCTTTGTTTTGACTTTATTCAAGATTTATCTGTTGCTTTTAAACCTGCCAGAAAACTGGTCATTCTTCTTGTGAAACACAACTGTAGAATTTAAACAAAGTAAGCCAGCTTTGGAATAGTAATGTCAAATGGTCATGAACCAACCAGAACTCCATCTTGCCTGTCCAGAGAGTCAGCCATACAATAGTAAAAGTATCATCTGACCAATTAACTGGTGAATTTTCACTAGTCACTGTTTTGGTTTTACCTCGTTTTGATTTTTCTCTTATGTTTCTCTGTCTAACCATAAAAGATATTATGTGTAGCTTAATCAAATTGTTGCCTAATTGTATGCGCAGGTTTAATCTGGCTTTAATGAAAGTTAACTTATTTCATGAAAAAGTTCAGGTATAGTGAGTACTGTCATTGGTTGAAAGAGCATGTTCCATCAGAGTATAAAACACACAGCCAAGCTAAAGCTGTCACCCAATGTGCCAATTAATACTATGTCTGACCAATTACTTGGCCTTCTCTATAGTGTTTCTTTGTAAATTGAAAGTGAAATTTCAGAGCAAGTGAGTGGGCAAGTAGCAACACAAAACCAAATAAAGGCTTGTAAACATGCCAAGCACTGTAATTAATGTTACTGTAATGTGAACAGAGATGAAAATCCTCTACAAGGATACAAAATGGACTGTACAAGTTTTGGAGGTTTTCATGCTTAGTTAGATTGTAAGCTTACATACAGTTATAAAACTCAAACACAGCTAACACTCATGTAGTATATAATGAAAAATTTAACCAAGCTGGCACAACTGTCGCAATTCATATAAATCATGATGGTGTCAGAGATCATGCAGAGGTCCATCGTGGCTAGCTTATCATGGTAATCTATGATCATCACAGTGAAGTAAGTGTCAGAAATTACATCAACCATCCTTAGAGTAAACAGCTAAGAGCTTGCTCTGATATCCTTTCCAATGTGTTGAGTGGAAGGCTACATTAATCACTGCAGCCGAGTTTTATGGTGTTGTCATCCTGAGCAATCTTCATGTTTCTGTGAATTCTGGTTTCATTCATTCATTCATAAAGCATATGCCTTGAGAAATTTGTTTCCTAATTGTTTCCTAATTTTGGCAGGATTTCACTGAACATTTAACTTTCAGATTCTGTACTAGAGACTGGAAAAACTTTAAGCAAAAGTGTTGAATTCAACCTGCCAAACTATTTCAGTTTGTGAACTATTGCAAATTGTGAACTTTGATTTTTGAAATTCAACCAATCAGACTATATGAACCATTCTGACAAGGATTCTGATTGGCTTATTGTTTTATGAGTGTAGATCATGCTGGCAACATTTCTGTTTGCTTTGAAAAGAAAAACTTGTTTTGAAAGTAGTAAGTAATGCATGGGGAATTTGAAGGATTCTTTACTATAAAACAAGTAAAGAAGCCCTGACTGTGCTCTTTCTGTTGTAAAGCACTTACACAAGGTGAAGGGAGCCACTCCCTGTGTGCTTTACAACAGAACTGAGCACAGTCAAGGCTTCTTTATTTGTTAAATATTTCTTTAACTTGTAGTTAACTACATGTAATTCATATGTCTTAACCTGTGTGTAACATTTCTCTCTACACTGTTTATCATACAAGGAGAAAAAAAAATCATATGAATATTTTGGAATGTTGATTTTAACTTTTTTCATAATTAATGTATCTAGCAATCTTATGTGCTGGTTGTCACCAAGTACCATTCATGGCAGATGAAGCAATTCAAGCCATACCAGGCTTTGGAAAAATTGATTACACACTCAAGTTCTATCTCCAATATCTTGACAAAATAAGAAGTTGCCTTAAAAACTTATTGAAAAAGGGTAAGTACACCTGGTACTTCAAGTCACTAACTGCAGCTTACCGTATAGTGAAACACTAAATAACCCACAGACATTTATGCTTAATTATGATGTTTATAAGTTGTGGCTTACATCCCAAACAACCTTATAATGATTATTAGAATCACAGGCTTCTTTTCCCAGATTGGCACAACAACAGTAGATCATTAAAACAGTTACAGTGTCACTACTTAAGCCTTAATTTAATTCTTCTTATGGAACAAGGTTGGCAAAAAGTGGGCAAATGGCCTAGAGTTAGAGTTAGGTTTTTGGTCCTATTTTCTGCCTGGGGATAGAGCGGTAAGTAGTCAGGGATTTGCATCAGGTTTGCATTCTTTCAAGGAAGCAATGATACTTACTACCAAAAGAAGCAAAAGCCAAGGTTATGAAGCAGTATTGACAAAATAACTTTTTCTTTTGTCAGACCCCAAAGGAGAGTGGAATGAACATAAGATTGAGCTGTGCCTTTGGACTCATGTTGTGGGACAAAGGTATGCCCCTGAAATGTTCAACAACAGAACTTTGACAAAAAGAAAAAGGACCACAACCAATGATGAAAGTCAGGAGACACCCAAGAAAAAGAAGGTCAAAGAAAAAGTGCTCAAACATTCAAAGGCAACATAGAGGATGATAACCACTTATACCTGGTGAAACTTCATCATGCACCACACTTAAGGGAAGGCCCAGGAACATGCAACAACATAGGTGTATAACACACCACGAAAACTGAATCTGTAAAGCAGAAGTTTTAATATAAGCCAGATAGTGGCAATCTACTTCCCCCCCTACATGATCCATTACTGCCTTCTGTTCAGCCTGCTAGGAGGCTCTTGTGTTTGGATATGTCCTTGCAGTGGTCACTTATGGGAAAAGTTATCTAAAACCTAAGGTTGTTTACTTCATCATCCAGGTATAGCCAAACTGGGCACACTTGTTTTTAAAATTCTTTTTCCTATTTTGTTTTTTATGATTATTATTATTATTTGACACCATAGATCTTCCATGTGGCTGATTTCCATTGTGTGATAGCATGTTTCCCTTGCAATATTAAATTATAACTGCAGACAATCAGCCAAGAATACTACTGACATGAATTGTGTCATCCAAAACAGACCAATAATAAATTGACAATATTGGGACACAACTAGAATAGGTTGCAGGCATTGACATTAAAAATCTTAAACGTTGTCAATGTTCAAGGATAAAAGTTGCAAATGATTTTGCTCAGACAAAATACTGATAAATAATTGAGGTATCACCTTTCAAAAATTTCTTCACTGATTTACTTACCTCCATTATGTCCATTTTTATATCACTTTTAATCCTTGCAATCTGATTAGCCCTCAGCATTGTGATGATTCTTAAATCATATAATTTTGCTCTGAATCAAATTTTTTTCCCAAGTAATAAGAGTAGAGCAATCAAGTGAAACAATAAATCAGATGTCAAGGCCAATAAACTTGCAGCAAGGAGAAAGACAAAGTAGAGAAATTCTGCTCTTGATAAAACCAGCCCAGTACTGGGTAATTAAAATATTCATGTTGACTAAAATTGTGTATCTGGACAATTAAATTTCTCAGTTTGAAAATGGATGTAATAAAGCAGTAAATAAACAACATGTCAAGTAAGTTTGGTCTGAAATCATACTTACAGTTTCCACTTAGTTCAATTATCGTTATTTATCAAATGGGGGCCATTGAGTGTTTCACTTACCTGCTGACAAATCACAAGGTTCTTTACAATTCACTTAGTTTGAACGATTTTCATTGCAGTCAAGCAGTACTTGTACCCTAGGTTTATTAGGTTTATTATGAGCAAAAATCATGACATCTTTAATGCAGTAAGTAACATTTTCAATGTAAGTTTGTCACATGATTTTCCAAACTTTTCATTGAAACAAGGATCTTTTCCAAAAATGGTCACTACAACCCAAAACAAACTGCAAAAACATTTCACAAGGGAATAAATAAGTTTTGAAGTGGCGTTCTCAACTTATTTTCTACCTGGTCCCAACCACAAAATTGACAGAACATGTTTGTCCTTTTATGGTCAATTATGCTCTTATTGTGGACCCTGTTCTGTACTTATTCCAAAGTTCTGGTGAAGCCTGTTTTGCCTCGAACCCCTGAGTTTCTTCAGGTCTCTACTGTATTGTACTTCACGCAAAAGTGTTTTATGTTGTTCTTCAAGTTCTTGGCGATGTTCATGAAGGGCCCGTGTTCTTCTGATCAGCTGTAACAGTTCTTTCCGCAACAATCGGTTTTCGTCTTTGATCCTGTGCGTGTGCTCATCTAAACACTGTTTTGCCTCCTTGACATGGAAAAAAGTCAAAAACAAAAAAAGTATTAAACACTTGATTTATATATGTAATTGTTATCCAGCTGTGATGACCTGGAATTATTTCACTGCTTCTTTTGATGACTTAGAAATCATGAAGTCAAATTTTAGTCCATTCCCTTTACAGCTTGGAACAGCATGCTTAAGATTGCAAAAATCTCATGCAGGCAAAGAATCACTTTCAGTTATCAATGCACATGAATTTGAAGCATCGTAGCCTGTTCTAAAAGAACTTAAGTTCCACTGATAACTTAAAATTTAAAAAGGACAAACTCCTTTTCCTTGACAGTCATTTAACCCTAGGTTCAAAGTGGGTGCTGATTTTTAACTAAGTTTTGCTCCATTTTTGGAGGATCACTTTTGATTAAATCTGTCAGTACAACATTGAATTCACCATCAGATAAGACCAACCTGCTGGTAAACAAAAGGGGAAAAAAAATCCTTTTAAAGTAGCTATGGCAGTCTTGCTGTGGTTCTCTAACCTGTGAGGCTTGTTGTGCCATTTCTTGAATTTTATCATCTGATTCCCTTTGATAGCTTCTTTTCTCTCGTAAAAACTGTGATTTAAGCTTTTGTATTGCTTCTGAGTGTTTTCCTCTCATCATGTGAACTTCCTGCTCCAGATGTGCAATCTCTGCCTTTTGATCACGCTGAAGAGTCTTTGTATATACAGGAAATTTTTTTCATCAATTGCAATATTGAGAGTAAGCATAAACTACAACTATATATGTTTTGTTCAAGATTTACCTTGGTTTAGAAATTTTTATTTTCTTGTGTTGCACATTTTGAGGTTAATCAGAATTAAATACACTTAAAAACTTTTAAGTGCCAAAAAAATAGACCAACACCAAATACTGTTAGAGTTCAACTTAATTAGAGAAGATTTGATCTCATAAAATTGATACATGGCAAAGCTGGAGCTCACATTCATTGTCCATCTAACTGCTCCCAAAAAACACAATCCTTTGCTTACATTGCCCCAAAATTTGACAAAATAATAATTCCCAAAGTTTTACAAAGTAATGCTAGTGCAGGGTGGAAGCTTTCCAATTATTATCACTTTCTCTGGAATTGTGGTCCATTTTGCATGCAAAAATGGAAAATTTGGCATTGTAAAATGTATATTAGCTTGCACATACATAGGTGAGATTGTTGAGACTATTTTTTAATCATTTTTTGTTGTCATTTTTTGTTGCCCTCCAAAGTATAAAATAATAGAAATACAGTTTATGTTCTTAGGCATAAATATATTTTGGGCCCTTCCCTGATTGTGCCTCAGGCCTAGAGCATATTTATGTGCAGACAGAAATTGTATTGTTTTATTATTATAATAACATTCTATTTAATACATGATGTTTTTCAAGCATCAGTAGCAATTAGTTGTTGAGTTACTGCATAACAGACTATTACCTGATACTCTTCCAATTCAGCCAGTTCATTATTTGTCAGGGCAAGTTCAGCCTCTTTCTCAAGCATCAGTTGCTTCAAAGCTGTGATAAGAAACTCACCAATTGTTGTCACTGTGCTATGGCTATAGTTAACTTAGTCACTCTCCCCAAGGAAATTCCCTCCCTGTACACATTTATGGGTACACATTTATGGCATCTGCACCCCTGTGTGACACTGATCAGGAATCAGGTATCCAGTTAAGAAACCTTGAGCAAATGAGTTATCAGTAATCATCTGAAAACACTTATAGAAAAATTTGCACAATAAAAATAGTTCAAACTGCATCTGTGGCACCTTGTTGCTCACAATATAATATTGTGAGGAAACTTTTGTGTGACAATGTGTTCAATAACATTTATCTGATTTTTTTAAAATGGAGTTTGATTAATTTCAAGGATGCCAACAGGGTCTCAAAGATTGGCCACCTCTTAGAACCAAGTTTCATTTCCCATGGGAATTGTGTCTACAACACCAACTCTTGTAAGGCAAAGTCCCAATGGATGAAATCAGCTTATGTAATTCCCACATAAATCAGATCACAAGATTCATGTGGGAGGTTATAATTATACCCTTTGTCATTAGGGTATAATTATTATATAATAGATTTTTAGATTAGTAAACCAGAGTGTGTTTAAACAGAACAGTTCTAACCTCCCAAATGAATCTTGTGAACCAATTGGCTGGAGAGAATTAATAATCTAAACATGTTGCAGTAATCAGACTATTTGGAAACCCTGGCAGCACATGGTGTACATAATTATGTACATATATATACATCTTGGTGTGTCTTATCTACAGTACCAGTAAATCATAGCAGCTAGTAAAGGTGACTGTTCAGTTTCATTGAGCTTCATACAACATGTATATATTTTTGGTGTAATTTCAATTTACCAACAACTTTTACAAAACCTGACAATGATTCTTTCTCAGTTGAACAATCACTGACATTATATCTCACTGAAGCGTGTGAGCTCTAAGTAGAAAGTTGTACCTTGTTTCTTCTCTTGGTATTCATTTAACATCTGCTCTCTCTGCTGCTTGATGTTCTCCAACTCTTGCTGATTGCTGTCACTCAGTGATATTATTGTTGTTTGTCTCTTCTGTGTCTTTTTAGCCATATAGGACATGTACTCATGCTTTACATTCAAACAAGACTTATTTCAGTTGTTAGTGGTAGCATTAAATTGGTACAGAATTAAAGACACCAAAGAAGTAAGTTTAGGTAGAACAAAACTTAGTAATGATCCATGTCAAAAAATGTCCAATCTCTGAAAATAGGACTAACATGTACTGGTACAGAAGCAAATGTTATTTCATCATATATATGATGAAAAGAAACACCTTCCACCTGAGCAACTACCTTCACATGAAAATCATGTTTACACAATCATATCTGCCAGTTGAGCATTTTAAACAATCACATCTATTTTACTCACACTTTCCAGTCGAGTTTGTTGAGCCTCTTCCTGAAGCCATTCGTTTTCCTTCCGTCTGATTTAAGTGTTAAGAAACTTTATTTCGCTAATATTTCAACTGTCATTGAAATTTTCCCTGAAAGATTCTCCAGTTCTCAACACAAAAAAGTGTAGCTTAAAGATCTATTGTTCTCGCATTCAAAAGTATCTCCAGAATTCTCATTATGAGGCAAGACCAAGGGTACCAGTACCAATAGAGAATGTTTTGCTTACAACACTTAATGATTGGTAAATAACTTAAAAAAGAGGATTGTTAAAAAAACATATACATCTGCTAGCTTTCCTAGTAATGTATTTATGGACCCTAGGGGATGCTATGATTTGTATACTTCAACATACCTATATCAAAATTATATTTGTCAATGTCTTCATCTAACACCCTCACCTGAGAAAATGTAATTTTAATTAAATTAAAATACCTATTGTGAATATGCAGACTACAGAGAAGGATATGCCTTATTAGTTAAAGCAACATTGCTTTTTATAGAAGAATAGTTTTCATGAACTGATGATAATTGAAAGTGTTTCATTTTTGTGTTTTTCTCCAAGGACAAGCTGTGAATATCGATTAATTTACGGCTCTTTATCATACAATATTTGGACCCCACTCTGAATCAGTTAGCTACTAAGAACCCTTTTCTACAGATCTGAAACCCAAAAATTTCCTTACAAGCTTTGTGTAAATTCAAGATAAGTATAGCAAAACCTTTTATGATAAAAGTGCACATTATTATGAGTAGTGCAAGGGACTTAGAAGCTTTGAAGCATGGTTTCCATCAGTCTTAGTAATCCTTGCAATCACAAATGGTTCGTACATTACAGGCTACAGTCTCGTCTTGTTGAGGTTAGTAAAAAAGATCTAGTCTAAAAACCAAAGAAACACACTCGTTTACGTACTGCAACATGGGAGCGAAACCCAACATGACCAGGTCTAGTGCATGCAGTTACGATAACAGATTCAAATACAGCGAAATCATGTGAATGGGCGGTGAATGGTCGTAAATAAAATATTCAATCATCCGATCATAACAAAGAAAACCTTACCCATTCGAAAAGATACAGTCCTTCAACCTCTCGCTTAAGATTTGATAATTTTTCTGTTAAAACTTCCAGTCTACAGATTAAGAAAACATAATTAGTTGACCCAGTTTACTCAAAACTGAAGTACAGACCTAGTATGATAAATATCTCCCCTTTGCCACGAGAATCATAGTATATTTGCAGCACAACCTTAAATCCATTATCTAGTCCTTGCAATTTCACAATTTAGCTAGAGACGCATAATATTGTCCAGGATATCATACTGACAGACATAACATGGATAAGAACAAAGGCTTATTTGAACTGGTGGTTTTAATTGCCTGAAAAATCACTACTTTTCTTTTTCTAAGTATATAACGCTTTCTTTATACATTGCTGTAACACGTTTCCCATAAAAATAAGGCCGAGTGAGAAAGCTTACTCACTCTCTTCTCAGTTCTTGCTCTTTTCCCGTAGGTTCAGGCTTTCCTCCTCCTTCTTCCTCTTCCTTTTCACCTCTGCTACTTCCTTTTTCCTTCTTTTTACCTTTCTTTTTGGCTGGCATCTTTACTTCACGTACCGGGACTAAGTAAGAACTGTATTTATATCGATCGATATAAACAATCTTTCAATTTCGGTCGTTAAGGTTAATGACGCCTGCGTTTGTACAGCGGTAATGCAACGCGTAGTTCGTGTATGGAGACATTCACACCAAAGGATGTCAGGATGTTAAGGCTATTCGTTACGCGGCAAGGATTGCTTGGCGGCAGATTCATGAAAGACTCTATTACAAATAGAGGTTCTGTTTTGTAGCGCATGGTCAATTTTAAAGAACTGGGAGTTTCACATCTGAGTAACAAGGACTTAAGTTATCGAATACCCTTTTAGATTCGATGCTGTCTCCACCTCAGCTTCGCGGCATACAAATAGTGATTTTGCATGTAATTATTACACAGATACAACTTTTTATATGTTCTTGATAATATTAATTTTTAACATATAAACGTATAACGTATAAACATAATTCTGGTTTTTAATGCTTCCTCCAAAAACCTTACAAAGTAGGTTCAGCTCTAAAAACGATGCATCCTTCTCTCTTCAAAAAATAAATGATCATAAATCGGTGGAGTTAACATGCCAACAGTAGCAGTAACAACAACAGCAACAACGAAAAACAACAGGAAGCGTTTGTAACTTGTATTGTCTTCGAAAGCAAAGGTACAACGATTTCAAAGAATTTAAGGTATTCAAAAATTGTTTAAAATCTATTTAATGAACACAGTTATTAAATACTCATTCATGGAAATGGGCTCCTGGCTTTGTTTGGTTAGAAAAAAAAATACATGTTTTATTTGAACTGCCAGAGTAAAAGGTCTATCTATGTTTATAGATTTACTGTTCGAGACAGATGCCATGCAAGCTGCTTTATATATAAATAGTTCGGTTCAGTGTATGAGCTTCCCTTGCAGGCTAATATTGAAATTTAGAATGGAAGGTGACATTAGCCTATCAAAGAAGGTAGTTCAAAAGCTCATAGCAAGTGGCCAAACTTCTCAACTTCTGCTTTCCACACATCTTGTACCCATAAATTCGAAAATACACAGCATAAAAAATGCCTCCGGCATAAAAAGGATCAGCATGCTTCAGTTATTTCAAGGAGGCTCTTTATCACCAAAAGTACATCTGTAACACTGATACGACATCTCCAGTGTATGTTGGTGTATAGTTGTAAATCAATGCCTTTTTCTCCTCTTCTGTGCTCGGGAATCGATGGTCACTTAAACGAGCTGTAACCAAATTGATGATTTAGAAAGAAAGAAAGAAAGGTATAGTTTATCAACGCTAGGTAGAAATCAGAATATTAGGGAATGGAGTAACAAAGTGGATCATAAGCACGCCTCAGTTTTTAAGTTTAGTTAAAGAAATAACAATGAACTATGAAAACGTCTATGGAAAGAAGCTAGCCACAAGCACCCTCATTTTGAGATTCCACTAAATTAAAGCATAGTGAAATCAATGACAATTTCATTTCATAATTCGTTTAATATGTAATACATTTACTTTAAGCATCGAATTCTAATGAGGAATTCTTGGATTGCTTCATTGTGTATGACAGACTAAGAATTTGAAAAAAGGGGTAAGTTACCAACCCACTCTACCTTAACTTCGGTTATCGATACCAAATTTGCCTCGGTTCAAGCTGCTGAAGGTTTCCTAACTTGCTGGTTTGTCACATTAACAAAAGTATGAGTATAACGACCAATCAACGTGCATCGCCACTACAAAGATAACAATTTACCTTGATTTACAAAAAAGTCTGCGAAATACTGTGCTATCAGAACAGCCTCCTCTGTATGTCTGATGTCTTTTAGTGTTGTCCACTCAAACAGAGGCTTCGCCGGATGCCACTGAAAACTGTAAATAGGATATTTAAGAGCTGAAAAAGAAGGCGATGGTTGTTGGTGAAAAGTGATGAATGTTACATAACTGCCCATCTGATTTGCTGTTGTTCTAGATTATGAGCCGGCCTTTCTTTCATTGAAGGCGAAGAAAAAATGATGATTTCGAGAGATTACCTTCCATAGTAGAGATAAACGGCTTTCCTTTCCTGTCATTACTCGTGGAAACTATTTTAAAAAACTCACTCAACTTTTCATCTTTATGGAATACCTGGGCAAATGTCAAAAAACAACAAGCGCGTGTGAAAAGAAACCTGTAACTCTAAAACCGCATATCTTCATTCTGATCATCAGTGCATGATGGTAGAGAAATCAAGGAGATAATGAGAGTCGCAAAGGATGAAAAGATAGGTTTTAAAGGTCATTTTAAGGGGAGGTTTGATACCTTTTTTCTTTCTGTACATGAAGTACTCTTGTTATGCAAACATACGACGAGAATTTTAACTTCCCATCGTTTCTTTTTCTGCCAGACGGGAAAACGGTTTCAGTAACTCAATATACTAATTGGTAATGAAAAGAACATTGCAATCATTTAACTCTCACATCTAATTTTGCAGAAGCCCTCACAGAAGTCTCTTTTGTGTGTTTCGACAGAAGAAAGAAGGAGGCGAATACAGCAATCGGCTTACCTCGGGCGTCAAACCTCTATGGTGATTGTTGTAATTGATATCATTTTGTGTCATGTACTTTATGATATTATCAGGGGCAGATCCTAACAGTTTCGTTGACTTAAAGTCTGCAAGAAATAGTATCAGCACTCATAAAGAGAAGATCAAAATTTTTTTTTGGTCGTATTTGACCGACCATCGAAGTTAGTCGTGCAAACTAGGCCATGAAAACGAGGGGCTGACGATCGAAACGTGAGATTTAGAAACTTTCACGGTGGCCAATTTACATTATCTACTCGGTTGATAAAGCCGAATACCTTGCTTATAACCCCACCGATGCAGGACCACACTTTCTTTGGGAAACTTACCCCCTTTATTAAACGGTTTGAATACGTTTTGAAGAACTAGTAAGCTTACTGATCCTGACAATTTAGAATATAACAACATGACCAAACGATGTATTGGAAACGCTTTAAAATTAGTTTGATTCACATATCGTAGCTACTCGATGTTGTTCGACAAAATGAAAGGGTGGAAAGTATGAAAATGTGGACTGTGAGTCTAATTAGATTAGGAGGAAACAGTGTTAATTTCTTTTTAAAGAAAATATTCTATCAATTTCCGATAAACAAACGCTATCGATCTTGCTCGTATTAAATGTTCATCTTGTTTGAGTTAGGGTGATCGTTAAGGACAGTGGACAATTCAACTCGTCATGTACAATTCACATGACGCGGCTTTAAGAGTTTGTGACTTACAAAGTGAAGATAACATACTAAATTAAGACCACTCCTAATGAAAGGTATCTAATGAGCAGGCCATAAGAGCACTCGTCACTAAATAGGCCACTAAATAGCCTTTCAAAACAATATTTCCTGACCAGTTTGATGCGTGCCATTTCATGTCTTTTCTATTGAGTTACCTGGAGATAAAATAAGCTTTAAACTGATGTTTCTTGCATCTGTGAGGCTGAGGAACGACTGGTCGTATTGACCAAACTTTAAGTCCCTTCCACTAACTATAAGAGCAATCAATTCAAATCCCAAGCACTCGGCCCATATAGGAAATACGTCTCCTGTTTCATCGTAGGCCTGACAAAAAATGATAAAGAAGTATTTTTGACAACTGACCGCCAAGGCACTTGCCGCACCCTTGATTAATCCGAATAAGTCTTTAAGCTTTTTGTTAAATTGTTACATAGAAACTTGCCGATCACACGATTGTATTATTCTTAACTGATTGAAAAATTTGACGGCAAAGGAACATATCAGCAACAAACCTTAACAGCAAGGTCTAGGAACTTCCTTCCGACTGTTGTGTATCTAGACACATTTAACTTCACATGGCCTCCCGGAAAGATCAACCTTGCAAATCGAAAGCAAAGCATGGGTTTAAGAGAGTCACTGTCCTCTGAAACCTCCTACTCCCCTCCCACCCCAAAAGAAAAATATATCTTAACACTTAACTGAGACAAAAAAAATAATTGCAATCATAATCATAAATATTATATAGCTGGCAGCGCCCATCGGCGATATGAAGCAAATCTTGTGTTCTGATTGGCCGCCCGAGCGGGTAAGATGTGCGCATCTTTCCCGTTCGGGACCGCCCGCATTGATCCTGCGCAAGAAAACAAAGTACCCTGGAGCGGACTCACAAAATTCGTTAATTTAGGAAAATATCAGCAAAAAGCGGCAGAAGACAGTAAAACCATTCTCGTGAATTTAATGTGCTACAATTACAGTTGGCGTTCTTTCCCAGTTCTCGAAATAAACAAGTCATTCTTGATTCCTATTACAGCGAAATTGTTTTGCTATATCATAAATCTTTTACTGACGAGTTTGTCCGGTCAAGATGCCTGGATATTAGCCTCGTTCTTTTCTGTGTTTTTATGCGTCTCGGTCCATAAAAGCGCAACACACACACAAAAAAAAAACTCGGCCAATGCCCAGCCATCTCGACCGAACAAAATTGATCTATAACGCTTATGTACTGTTAAAGGAAAGCTTTCAAATTTCTTGAGTTGGGAACAGGACGACTTCTTAAGATTTAATATCACCCTCATCAAGAAAGGCTAAGAGGTCATAATAAACAGGTTGGAGCTTTGTTTTGTATGCTGAACGAAGAAATTGTGATAGACATCATTCCTCTTTCATTATGCCCCCTGTTACAATGGCAACGAGTCACGTCAGTTGTCACCCCTGAGCCGAGTAACGTGGCCCACAAGCGTGGTCACATCACACCTACGTTAGCCTATGACCAAATATTCGACACCAATGTCATTTTCATGGCGGCGTATTGAAAATCCTCCAGACTTGAGAAACTTTTTAAACTCTCTTTGTGTTGTTTACGACATGAGATTAAGATTTGAATCACAACCTACCATGACGGTGAGAAATTCTCAAAAATAAGTAGAATAGTGACACCACGATAGATCAACAAAGATTTTAGTCGATCCAACAAGGGCCGACGTGACTGCACTTGAAGGCGAAGTGACTCGGCTGGGGTAGACGCTATCTTAATTCCTCCCACACAGAGTAAGTCTGTTGTTTCGGCAAGAACACAAAATTAGAGATAAGTTTGTCTCAATTTTGTGAGAGTGTCTTGATTTCGAAGACAAGCGATATGTTTAACAATAGTAATTTCGGTCAAAGAAACTGGCAGGTTAACTTACTTTTTATCAGAGAAATATTCAGAGTTCGAACCTCCATTTTCGGAGAAAAAAAGCCCTTTTAATCTTTAACTGATCCCTGTTCGATAAAAGGTGATGTTGCCAAGTTCCATCTACACGTCATTGCTTACTTACCCATTTAAAGAATGAAACATATTTTCTATTTCCGGTGTGCTGGAATTGACACTGTGCATTAAGTCAAGAAAGAAATTAAGACATAGATAACGATCCGGACATTAAACCAAGGAAATGTTATACTTCCACAAGAACCTTCTCATATCGTGCATCGATGGATTTTTTGTTGTGCCTCAGTGTCAAATGAAAGGTACAATCGGACAGACAAAATGTACTATTAAGGAAAAAGGCTATCTTTAGTTGTCGTTAATTTCTGTATCCTAAGAAGAAAATAAACAGATAACACCACGAGGCATTCCCTTATTCTGACAGTTTTTCCTTAAGGTTTTAACAATAAGCGGCCAACTGGCAAGTGAAAAAATGCATTGTCTTTTACGACCGAAAGAAAGTTGTTTCTTTAGTCAAGTTAACATCTGTATATATTTATTATTTTAATATTATTTCCCGTGAATTTCAGAGGGGTTATTAAGGTAGTTTCCGAAGGGGAATAGTGTTTTCTGCAGCTTGAAGTGACACAGGAGCAGAGAAATCGTCAAATAACTTTATGAGGTGAAAAGGATACAAAACTGGAACAGCTCGAGCCCCTGCAGATTCCAAAGTCTTCACGTAAAGAGCACTAAGGTATTGGTAACCGAATTGCGTAAGGTTGGCATTGGTTTCTTGAGTCAAAATACCTGATTGAAAAAATTAGTCGATGGAGCTTGAAGCTAGTATTAAGAGCGTGCTTTGCTTTTTTCCGGGGGGAGATAGTCCACCCCCGGTTTTTCTTGGCTTTTACTAAGGAAATCGCCTCAAAATAGGTAAAATGTATGAAGCTCTCACTACGATGGTATCTAACCAATCACTCTTGCACACATATTATTACATCCTTAGTAAATGTCCGATACAAGTATCAGTCAATTTGATTGACGGCTTGTCAATCAGCGGAGGTAAATAAACGACTGTGTTTTTAGACTTTTCGATTCATCCAAATGTTTGACAACTTTGAGGTCAAGTATCTCCCCTTGCCAGAGAGCTTCAGCACCAATCTTAATTCCCCTCTATAATCCATCATTTCATCTCTGAAAACCATAAAAAAAATCTACGAGCACTACCCGTATTTTTGTCTTGGATGCCTTTTAAAATCTGCGACTGTGACAAGTTTCTCTCAACTACACCTGTCACGCAATTCTGGCTGTAGCCGGTCACTCGACCGAAAAAACCTACATTTTTTAGCTCTTCATACAACGTGATTGATCAAGAAAGCTAAAAAATGTGAAAAAAATTTCGAGATTTTTCGTAGGAATGGAAAATTTCACGTTTAGAGAGATGCATATGATGAGGGGAAATCGTATCGTTTCTTTCTTCTGTCGTTTCTTACTTTGGAGATTTGCTAAAATCAGCAAATATGGCTTTTTTACGGCACAAAGCATTCATTAGTCTATCATTTGATTGTTGCCGGCGTTTAATTGCGTGACTTGTAAAAGATAGTAAGACTGAGTTAGCAATATTTTGACCAGTGGGCTTCCTGCAAATTTCCCTCGATGAAAAAATCCCAGGACATAGTCAGTTGTTTTCGTGAGCAATGACAATAAATATGAAAAAAAAGTGAGATGCAAAGGTCCTTATTTTTTTAGCTTGATAGTATCTGTACCCTCTCCTGCAGCCTTCGTCTAAATTTTGCAAGGTCTCTTCTTATCTTCTGCCTTGTTCGGTCAATTTCGATTTCTGAAGCTAGATCATCGGCATCGGCCTCTTCGTCCTCATTCATACTTACAGAGGGGGACTTCGTCAATAACCAATTTTTGTTACGGCAGGTAACCGGCTGAAGTATCGAGCGATTTGCTGCTCTATCAACCAGTCAGTCTTAGACAACATTTCTGGCCGGTGTCGTCTCTTAAACTCGATATTTGGCCGCATTAGAGTTGGTTGCCTTACTAGTTTCCTCCCATGTCCAGCACACGTCTAGGAGATAATTCTTTGCTATCTGAGAAAAGGCGGCTGCTTTTTGTGTTTTCCAAAGAGCCCATCCAAAGTTCACCCGGCTAGTTAGGGATTGTTCGTCAAAATTTTACCTGAGGTCCGACCTTGAACGTAGCCACCCCCTACAGAATGGAAAGTCTTCGTCCACTTCCTCTTGATCTTATTATAGGCGGATTTTTTTGTCAGCTTCACCTTGTGTTTGCCTTTGTTAAGGTTCTTCTGGATGGCAGTGAATGACTGAAACGTCTTCATACATCCTTCCTCTTAGCAAGAATATCTCGCTTTCTTGTTCCGTCTGTGACGGATTGGGTATAGTTCTCGCGATGACCCGCGTTCAGAGATCTATGCACGTTGCTGATAACCACCCACTTCTACGATTAGTTTGCTGAAGGTTTCTAATGTGATGAGCCTCCAAACTGTGCCAGTTGGTCTGCGCTATAAACTTGTCGCAGTTCTTAAGTTAGAGGGAGGATCGCCCGCCTCTATTTATGTGAGCGCCTCTACAGTATCTGCGTAGCAATCATATGATACAAAGTTCATCTCAGTCACATATCACCAGTTAGGAAAACTGATGTTCAGATAAGCGCTCTTATTGCTCTTCTTACTTACTCATTGCCGACTCTAAGATAGCAATTACAGTACGCGTTCTATTAGGTTTACAGTCACCTTGCCACCAGGAAGACTCGCCACCACCTTTGATTTCTTCTGCCATCTTCAGGTTTAACTCTCTCTCAACTTTACGTTTCCGATTTTTTATGAGGAGGATACTGGGATTTACGAACCCGAAGGTCTGAATCTGAAACCAAGTTGTGCACGATATTTGAGGTATATAGTGAAATCGAGGCCTTCGTAATCTCCAAATAAGCCAATATGAGCTAGAATAAGCTTCTTCTCGGACGAAACGCATGTTCGGGATACATTGAGGCCCCCCCCCAATTTTTTTTTTTTATATGCTGTACACTCACGAATTTATGGGTATGAGCTGTTTCCGTCTCTGGTCAGTGCGAGAAAAGTAAGTTGGTTTTTACAGTTAGGTGCAAATGAACAAGACAACTGCGCCATCTTGACTCTATCAATTCAAGTTTTAGGTTGAATTGAGGGTTTTTTAGACACTCGATTTCTTATATGGCATCACTATGAAGACGGATTAACAATGTCTGTTGCGCTGTTGCGAGAGGGAGGAAAATATTACTGGAAGTGTAAACCCTCCAAGAGTTTCAGAGACGTTTCAGAGATGTCTATCTTCGGCTGTCACAAAACATTGACCTCCTCTCAAATTAACTAGGAAAAAGGAACTTAGAAACTCCTTGTTGAAAAAAATTGGAATTCGTTTGACCGATACGCCGGTTGTTTCCATCTTGCTTTTTCCTCGGGCTGTTATAAAACAGTTCATAAATTGACTAATAAATAAAATAGTTTGAAATACCGTGGAGAATTTGTCTTTTTTTCTGCGTGCAAACCAAGGGAAGTCAAAGTTTTTAAAACATTTGACAAGAATTTCATGGGACTCACCTCGATAATTTTCGTCGATTAGAGTCAAGACGCGCCAAGCTAAGCGACATCGCCCTCCAGTAAAATAATTTTCCAAAGAATAAATGTGGTGAGCGTGAGAAAACGCACATTTTTTTCATTATTGTGATCAAAGCGCAATGATTTACCTTAATTGGTACTTACATTATCAAAACATTGATTATGACAGGATGAGCTTAATTTTTCTGTCGAGGTCGACATGACTTCACGTTAAAGCGTTTTTGACGGAACAAACAAGTGAGCATCACCGCACGAACTGAGAAAGTAAAAACTTGTATTTATCTCCCACGCGTTTCGTCTGACAATAGTAGACTTCATCAAGGAGTTTTACAAATAGGGTAAATAAGCTTGCTCATATACAAATAGTAAATAAGTTGTCTCTTTACAAATAGTAAATAAGTTGTCTCTTTACTATTGAAGCCAGTGGAAAGAATTCGCCAGGTGCGCCTGCGGTATTGTACATGCGTGACATTTTTCGGACGTTACATGTACGAGTATGTGATCCGTTTGAGGGTCACAGATTTTTTGTATAAATATTTGACCCCTCCACACATTACATCCTCGTCCACGTCATTTCTCTAGTTTACAGAGGTCTTAGAACGCCTCATTACATGGATTTGCCTTCTGCGGTTAGAACGGCGTAATTGCTTTTGATTTCTCAATTGATGCTGTCGCAAACACAGTTTTTGGGAGTCACGAAACAAAAACTTATCGGGACCTAGTTTCATGTTCTAATGGAAATAAACAGCAGATAAAGACACGTTATCTTGAGAAATAAAGTTATAAAGAACAGGGAACAGGGGTTCTTTGAAACAAATAGTGATAGCAAAGGTTTGAGTTCTGGTCAATATTGACTTTTCATAGCAGTCTTCCAAATCTGAGGGAACGCGCTGAGGGAATTAAAATAACACACATGTGTGATAATGCAAGAAAGAGAATAAAAATACAAATAAAGAAAAAGGGGAAAATACCGTGGTGCAGCGTGTAGATATCTTTCGTGCCAGACTTACACACATAGGCCCGACACCACGCAAAGAAACTCGAAAGGCAGCCCAGTATACCAACTGGCTCGCACGTACGCAGGAAAGGGCCATGAAAATCAGCGAAAATAATAGCAAATGCTGACGATATTTGCAGTCAGAAAACAGGCAAATAAAATAACAGAAGGATTAAGAACTTTGTAGAAGTGTTTTCTCGTAAAAAAAAGATAAACAATTTTTACTTCTCGTGAAAGGTCACGCAGTCAAATACTATTTCTGCGTGGAATTTCTTGATGGTGGAAAGTGGAAAAAAAACTTTCCAGTCTTATTTTCTGGAAACGTGGCGGAGTTAATGAATTTTATGGGGCTATTGATATTTCCTTTCAATTGAGTGGGGCAGAGTTTCCCGTCATCCGCGGTCTGGAAAAGCTGAAGTTATGAAACACGGAAACTTGAAAGTCAACAAGCATGCGACATTTGACTTTAAAATCTACACTCCTGTTACAGTTTCCTTATTGTGAACTGTGCGATAATGATAATAAACAATCAAATTACAGACTAATGAATGTTTTGTTCTGTACAAGAGCCCTATTTGCCAACTTTAGCAAATCTTCAAAGTAAAAACGACAGAAGAAAGAAACGCTACGATTTTCCCATCGATTTTTCGCCAGCATGCATCTCTCTAAATGTGAAATTTTCCATTCCTACGAAAAACCTCGAAATTTTTTCACATTTTTTAGCTTTCTTGATCAATCACCTTGTATAAAGTGCTAAAAAATGTAGGTCTATTTGGTTAAGTGACCGGCTAGAGCCAGAATTTCGTGACAGGTGTAGTTAAGAGAAACTTATCACAATCGCAGATTTTAAAAGGCATCCAAGACAAAAATACAATAGCGCCCAAAGATGTTTTTGATGGTTTTTAGAGATGATGGGTTATAAAGGGGAATTAAGGTTAGTGTTGTAGCTCTCTGGCAAGGGGAGATATTTAACCTCAAAGTTGTCAAATATTTGGAGGAATCGAAAAGTCTAAAAACACAGTTGTTTATTTACCTCTGTTGATTGACAAGCCGTCAATCAAATTAACTGATACTTGCGTTGGACATTAACTAAGGATTAAACAATATGTGTGAAAACTCTCAGATTAATTGGTTAAATACCATCGCAGTGAGAGCTTCATACATTTTACTTTTTTTGAGGCGATTTCCTCGGTGAAAACCAAGAAAAACCGGCGGGGGTGGTCTATCTACCCCCCCGGAAAAAACTAAAACAGAAACCACTTTGTCTTCTTTAGTTTTAGGGTAGATACTTTAAACTGGCAAAGTTTCATTAAAATCGGTGAGATGGCATGTAGCACGACTGCCCGGTGCTCTCGTGGACACGCTCTTAACAGCAGGTTCGCGATTGGGGTTCTTGGAATTGTTTGATCAGTTGCCGTCCGTCTCTGAGGATAGAACACGCTCACCAATTTTTATTAACGAAAGTTATCCTGTTGTGTGATCAAGGCAACTGTTATCGATTTCTTCTATTTTATTGTTATTACATAACTTTCGTGACATCATAACTAATACATATAGCTTTGATGAACCACACGATGCTTTTGAAGATCACTTTTTTTTTTATATATCTTTTTAATGAAAAAAGAAACATGTTTCGGATGAAACATCATCCATCGTCAGTTGTATAATGAGAGTAAAATGAAATTTTGCAATAAATAGTAGAACAAAGTGAGATGTTAACAAGAATAACAAAAAATATGAAACTATTTAAGCTAAGAAGGGAGACTAATTAGTATGAAAGGGATAAATTAAGATGTTTGGACTGGGAATTTAAAGACGGCTGCTCCCAAAGGATGTGCATGGCTTCCATAATTTTCAATTGGAAGCGTGTGGAGGCAGCCGTGGAAGCAGATTGTGGAAGCAGCTGTGGAAGCAGATTGTGGAAGCAGCTGTGGAAGCAGATTCTGGAAGTAGCTTGTGGGAGCAGCTTGTGGAAGCATTTTTCCATAGTTATATCAACATCCATCTTAAACATCTTAATTTATCCCTTTCATACTAATTAGTCTCCCTTCTTAGCTTATATAGTTTCACTTTTTTTTTGTTATTCTTGTTAATATCTCACTTTGTTATAATATTCATTGCATAATTTCATTCTATTTCTCATTATACAACTGACGATGGATGATGTTTCATCCGAAACATGTTTTGTTTTCATTAAAAAATATAATAAAAATAAACTTTGAAAGCATCGTGTGGTTCATCAAAGCGGTATCTTACTTCGTGCCGCTATGAAGCCTTAATACATATAGAAAGTAATTAGGAAGTAATATAGGAAGTAATTAGATGGCTCTGTAAATAAATTGTCAGTGTTGCAAATAAAGAAACTTAAACCTAATACACAAGATCTACAACGGATCTAAACGAAACAAAACCATATCAGTAAACGGCTAGAGAACCATCATAAACATATTTTACCAACCTATAATTGGACGATTCGTTTTGACCGCGCTCTTAGGTACCAATAATTGCTGATCTTGAAAGTTTCCAAGAGCAAAACCAAACGTAAAAGTAGAAGCTATCAAAATTGCTAACATCAAGGTCAGCTGTGGAGAAGTCCGGTAAGAAAGGATGGCACGCATGCTAAAAGCCCTGTGTAGATTTTGTTGGTCGATTGAATTCAGTACCTAGATGAGCACCAATGGTGACAGTTGAACAGTAGGAATCTGTTCTGAAGTGTCGTATCACTCGTTATGTTCTATTGTTCTCGTACACTTTCTTTGTTCCTTTTCCAACACGCACTATAAATAAAATAAATGCTGTTCGTGACTGGTTGCTTAATGATTGTAATTATCCACAAATAACAATGTTTCATGACGGTAAAGATATTTCCAAACAAAATAAAAGGTTTAATTCCTCTTGGTGGCATTGGAGCTCAGTGATCCTGTAGTATGCAATTTATTCCAAGCTTGAAGGCACATGGCTAAGATTGGTAGGGCTGCATTTATCGGGTACCAGACAAACCACCTAAGGTTAACCGCAGGTCATTGTTCACACAAACAGCTGTTCATAAAATTTAGACTTCGCACTCGGATATATAGTTTACAGCTGTAAATCTGCCAACGCGTTGTGAACATATAGACGATCTCAATTCTTGAATCGCAAAAGCAGAGGGACTTGGTAACTCAGATAGAGGATGCCATCAAGAATTTCTTAAGGTAGTGCTCCGCGCACGGCAGGTGATAAAACTAGTGGGAAGGTTAAAATTTAGCCCATTTTAAATCAGTGGGCGACAATATTAGTCTAGCCCTTTTTGTATTATTGTATTGCATTGTCTTCTTTAGTTTTAGGGTAGATACTTTAAACTGGCAAAGTTTCATTAAAATCGGTGAGATGGCATGTAGCACGACTGCCCGGTGCTTTCGTGGACACGCTCTTAACAGCAGGTTCGCGATTGAAGTTCTTGGAATTGTTTGATCAGTTGCCGTCCGTCTCTGAGGATCGAACACGCTCACCAATTTTTATTAACGAAAGTTATCCTGTTGTGTGATCAAGGCAACTGTTATCGATTTCTTCTATTTTATTCTTATTTCATAACTTTCGTGACATCATAACTAATACATATAGCTTTGATGAACCACACGATGCTTTTGAAGATCACTTTTTTTTTATATATCTTTTTAATGAAAAAAGAAACATGTTTCGGATGAAACATCATCCATCGTCAGTTGTATAATGAGAGTAAAATGAAATTTTGCAATAAATAGTAGAACAAAGTGAGATGTTAACAAGAATAACAAAAAATATGAAACTATTTAAGCTAAGAAGGGAGACTAATTAGTATGAAAGGGATAAATTAAGATGTTTGGACTGGGAATTTAAAGACGGCTGCTCCCAAAGGATGTGCATGGCTTCCATAATTTTCAATTGGAAGCGTGTGGAGGCAGCCGTGGAAGCAGATTGTGGAAGCAGCTGTGGAAGCAGATTGTGGAAGCAGCTGTGGAAGCAGATTGTGGAAGCAGCTGTGGAAGCAGATTCTGGAAGTAGCTTGTGGGAGCAGCTTGTGGAAGCATTTTCCCATAGTTATATCAACATCCATCTTAAACATCTTAATTTATCCCTTTCATACTAATTAGTCTCCCTTCTTAGCTTATATAGTTTCACTTTTTTTTTTGTTATTCTTGTTAATATCTCACTTTGTTATAATATTCATTGCATAATTTCATTCTATTTCTCATTATACAACTGACGATGGATGATGTTTCATCCGAAACATGTTTTGTCTTCATTAAAGAGTATAATAAAAATAAACTTTGAAAGCATCGTGTGGTTCATCAAAGCGGTATCTTACTTCGTGCCGCTATGAAGCCTTAATACATATAGAAAGTAATTAGGAAGTAATATAGGAAGTAATTAGATGGCTCTGTAAATAAATTGTCAGTGTTGCAAATAAAGAAACTTAAACCTAATACACAAGATCTACAACGGATCTAAACGAAACAAAACCATATTAGTAAACGGCTAGAGAACCATCATAAACATATTTTACCAACCTATAATTGGACGATTCGTTTTGACCGCGCTCTTAGGTACCAAGTATTGCTGATCTTGAAAGTTTTCAAGAGCAAAACCAAACGTAAAAGTAGAAGCTATCAAAATTGCTAACATCAAGGTCAGCTGTGGAGAAGTCCGGTAAGAAAGGATGGCACGCATGCTAAAAGCCCTGTGTAGATTTTGTTGGTCGATTGAATTCAGTACCTAGATGAGCACCAATGGTGACAGTTGAACAGTAGGAATCTGTTCTGAAGTGTCGTATCACTCGTTATGTTCTATTGTTCTCGTACACTTTCTTTGTTCCTTTCCCAGCACGCACTATAAATAAAATAAATGCTGTTCGTGACTGGTTGCTTAATGATTGTAATTATCCACAAATAACAATGTTTCATGACGGTAAAGATATTTCCAAACAAAATAAAAGGTTTAATTCCTCTTGGTGGCATTGGAGCTCAGTGATCCTGTAGTATGCAATTTATTCCAAGCTTGAAGGCACATGGCTAAGATTGGTAGGGCTGCATTTACCGGGTACCAGACAAACTACCTAAGGTTAACTGCAGGTCATTGTTCACACTAATTGCTGTTCATAAAATTTAGACTTCGCACTCGGATATATAGTTTACAGCTGTAAATCTGCTAACGCGTTGTGAACATATAGACGATCTCAATTCTTGAATCGCAAAAGCAGAGGGACTTGGTAACTCAGATAGAGGATGCCATCAAGAATTTCTTAAGGTAGTGCTCCGCGCACGGCAGGTGATAAAACCAGTGGGAAGGTTAAAATTCAGCCCATTTTAAATCAGTGGGCGACAATATTAGTCTAGCCCTTTTACCCATGGGTAAATAGCGTTTGCCCACGGGCAAGGACGTTTTTGTGTGTAACCGCTTTCCCCAGACCGAAACTGCCCTAGTGTTATTTCCATGGATACATAAAAAAGAACAAAAGAACTTCGCGTGACAGTTCCTGAACTGAAAAATAGGGTTTATCTGCTCCCTGAGGTGGCTTGGCCAATCATAAAGCAGAATGTAGCTAATACAGGAAATCGCCTGCAGTGTTTTGAGGTGACCTCGATGCGCTTGGCTAATTTCACGCCTTCTTCGGACTCTTCTCGCAAAAAACTGCCGGACTGTTATATCTATGGAGGAATGTCGTATAGTAAGCAGGAGAATCACTGAAATTAAGCTTAATAGATCTCGATTCGTAACATCCATGTCGTTCTGTACTTTTCCTGCCTATTTGTCAGGTCAGTGAACTCATATCTAATTATATTTGACCCGGGGGGGATTCTACTGTGTAACTGCATCCCCAAGGGTAACGTGAAACCTGAGCTTAACCAAACCCAAGCCATTTACCCAACATAAGGCCCCAAACCCAAGGTGTGTGTAATCACCACTAATATACGATGGCCCGTAAGGTTCTGACTGGTACTCAGTCGTCCCCATGAGGCGAGTGGCCATTGCGGATGGGAAGCGAGCTTTTGTATGATGACAAGCGACTAAACATGGTTTGTGCGACAGAGGGTCTTTGTTGGAGTTAGAGGGTGTGATAAAAATCAATTCAGACGGGTTTTCATTCTTTTCTTTTTCTAAGTGAAAGATTATCTTTTGATTGTAAATGAAACTCATTAGATGTAATGCATCGCGATAGGAGCCATTGCTTAATGGGTAGGTTACCGGTAGGTTACCATTATCGCGGTAGTTACTGATCTCGAAAATTGTTTTTTTTGTGTATGTTTACATTCATCGAGAACAGTTGATTTTGACTGAAATCCAAATACCAAAAACATCAGTCAGCAAATAGAACAGATCGTTTTACAGCCAGTACTTTTAAATCAGATTTGGCGGCACCAGTTCTTTTGTAGGAACGGGTCTCAGATCAGGAAACAAGATATAAAACATTAGGAGCGGGAAAACCGTGCTCGGAGGATTTTTAAGAAGGGTTTTCCCATGAAGCCAGGTATACGTAACTCCTTTTCAAGTTCTTGGTCTTCCTGGTTTCTATAAGAAAATAAGGTCAGGGTTCGGAAATAGGAATAGGCAGGAGCCTCACACCATTGTCACTATGACAGATATTTAGTGTCCGAACGCTTCAATGACAAACTGGGTTCCGGTTAAGTACTCACTTATGTTGTCGAAGTCATTCCTTTATTTATATTTTGATTTACTTTCTTTTGGATAATGTTTACAGGTTTGGTCGATAGCGGCAGTGGTTTAATAAAGCCGGTTTGCGTTTAAAATTCAAGATAGTTAATCAAGTCAAAACCAGAGTAACTCTTGATCATATTCAAACATAAACTATAAGAACACTCCTCTTAAGGAATTTTGTGTAATTTGCATCATATACTTTACTGCTTGGCGGTTTCTTTTGTATTTGACTATTGACAAAGATGAACCCCTTTGATCTAGTTCCCAGGCTTCTCCTTCGTGTGTCAGACACATATGACTTTCAACGTTGGCATGGAACAATACAAAAATACAACACGGTTATTTATAAACATTTGTGTCTTGTGCCCGAAGTGTTTCCCACCAGCCACTGCGAGTACCACGATATCACCGTGGAATCACAGAAAGGGTCAAGGTCCAAGCTAGTTATGTCCTCATCAAACGGTGAAAGGAGTGTGTCCAGTCGCCTACTATTGTGAGTCATCAATTTTTCTGTCCTCTTTATCCATACACAACACATCGCAAAAAAGATTCCTTATACATAATGTCTGTATTGCGGTTCTATTCTCACAATCGCTCTCATCACCAAGTGGGCGCATACATCGACGCAGTTATCTTACATTTACATTGGAACCAGGCCTTCATGATGTTAAAACGTACAGAAGGAAATATTTTATCTGAAAGAATAAAGGCAAGCAAGATAAGTCAGCGACTTCACATATGGATATGTGTTCATTTGAGCGTTCTCCCAGCCTGCTTTTCCTGTCAATACCTGAAAATAACATCTCATTCCTAACTCAACTGTTCGCTAGATATTAGATGAAATCTGCTCTTCTGCCAATTCTAATCTCATGTTTCATCTGTCTTCGCCTTAAAACAACTCTTCATTTAGATGTAAGGGATAACATCCA